GTTACTTCACCAAGCACCCAGGATTCTGCAAAGATTCTCCCAGATCGGTGAGGTCTGTACTCATATCCCAATAGGTATAATATAGCTGTCTATAAAGCCATTTCTGGTCTTCCTCATGTGCTAATAGCAGGCAGTTGAAATACTGGCAAAGAACATATAGCACAGACACAGGCCATTCAGCGCTGTTAGTCCATGCTGTTGTTTATGCTTCAGATGAGCCTCCTCTTCAGCTCACCCTCTCATCATAACCTAACATTTCTTTCTCCCTCACATATTTATCCAGTTCCGCCTTTAAAACCATCTGTACTGTTCACCTTACCTTGTAGTTCCACATTCTCACTGCTGCCTGGGTAGCTGGTTTATAAAATGTAACATTGGCTTCTTTGAAGATCCCCATAGATTAATGTTCTGCTGTTATTCAGTACTTTATTTCTTTCTTCGTTCACAGGATGAGGGCATCACTGACTAGGCAGCATTTATTGCCCATCCCTAACTATGAGTCAACCCCATTGCTGTGGGTCTGGAGTCACATGTAGGCCAGACCAGGTAAAGATGGCAGTTTCCTTCCCTAAAGGATATTAGTGAACCAGATGGGTTTTTCCTGACAATCAGCAATGAATTCACAGTCATCATTAGATTCTTAATTCCAGATATTTATTGAATTCAAGTTCCAGCATCTGCTATGGTGGGATTCAAACCGAGATCCCCGGAATGTTAACTGGGTGTCTGGATTAACAGTCCAGTGATAATACCACTCGGCCAGTTGCTGTTAATCATCACAGTAATCCAAATGTTGCTCCCAGTGACAAAAGCAACAACGTTGTATTTGCCACCAGTGATTGTATCATTCTAAGAGTGTATCAGAAGGAAGTGGACAGATGGTGGATTGTCTTAAGGCCACTTACACAAAGTGTAATTTGCACACATGAGCTGTGGTTGAATGGATAGCCTTTGAGGTCAAAACTTTGTGGGTTCATAGTCCCGTTACAGTGAGGGAGTGCTGCACTCTCTAAAGGTGTAATCCTTTGGATGAAATGTTAAATACACAGGATGTAGAAGAGTCCAGCATTATTGTCGCTTGCATTGACCATGCATATACTTGTGGGGCCACATGGCCTGTTTTTGTAAACTAAGTTATTTCCTAAACAACTGGCATGAACAAGCAAATGTCTCTCTTTTACTTTACATCTTAATTACAAGTGAATTTGAACAGTCCAATAGAAAGTGCCAAAACTTTCTATCCCCTGAACGGACCTAAGAGTTTGCGGACATCATTTCCGTTTCCCAGTGAATGAGCCAGGGAGGGCCCATAGTTAGAAATTGGAAAAGACAATATTTTCAAGCCCCATGGTCTATAAAGGGTGAATGGTCAGGAGACTAACTTAAGTGAGGTCCAGAGCAGGTGGGACTTGAACCCAATCCTTGGCACAGAAGTTGAATACAATAGTTAGTTAACAACCCCAATACCGTACAACAGGAGGAGGCCATTCAGCTTCTCAGGCCCTCATCCATCATTCAATGAATGCGGAATTGACCTGTGCCTTCATTCCATCAATGTGACGGAACTCTATACGCCTGAATGCTCTTGGCTACAAAGTGAATGTAACAATCTCAGCTTAAAAAAGGCTCATCAAGCTTGTATCTCCTACTGTTTTGTTGGAGAGAGTGCTGCAATTCTACCACCTTCTACGCAAAGAGTTTCCGAACTTACCCCCGAATGACGTGCCTCTTATTTTAAGATTACTAGGTTTATCCCATAACTAGCCTATACACTTCTTTCAAATTGTAAAAGCTCAGCCAAATCAATGTTAATGCTTTTAGGTTTCTGGGAATGCAAACACGATTTCTGTAATCTCTCATCATAAGCAAACCCTTTACTGGACTCCTGTTAGCAATTTCAATGAGCTAAACCTTAGATGTAGATTGTCCTCAGACATTCTGCTGTTCTTCCCTTTTGGCCCATCATGTCTGTACCTGCTTGTTACATGAGCCTCATTACCTCGTGCCAATCTCATGCCCCATGCTTTTTCCATACCCTTTTCACAATCCCCTCCCCCCAACTCTTCTGAAGTATGCCAAAAATACAGTGGCATCAGGGTTTCTGATGAACTTCAGATCAGGTTATGGTAACACAGCATCAGAAAGCCCAGGACATTCAAGTCTCGGGACAGGCTGTTATCAGGATGAAGATTGCCTTGAGTAAATTCCAAATGGCAGTGATGGGATGATCAGTGATACACTCAGGTGTAAAACATCCACTTGGTTTTGATGCTCAGAAACTAATAATTCAGAGTGAAGAATAACAGTGCGTTGTAATGAGTGTTTGCAGGTTGACTGATTATATGGGACTCGGCTGCAAGTGTTACCTAAAGGTAATACATTTAGCTTTCACATGATCAATTCAATAAAAGAAAACCTTATCTAACTTAAACTGTGTCAGTTATGGTTCAGTGCTAGCACTATCATCTTTTCCTCATGGAGGATCGTGTGACTTTGGAGCTGTGCACTCCAGCAGGCAGTGGGGACGAGTCATTGAATATTTTTAAGGTCAGAAATCGCACAACCCCAGGTTCTAGTCCAACAGATTTATTTGAAAACACAAGCTTTCAGAGCCTCAGTCCTTCTTCAGGAGTGAGTAAGGCTTTGAAAGCTTGCGATTTCAAATAAACCTTTTGGACTATACCCCAGTGTCGTGTGATTTCTGACCTTGTCCACCCCAGTCCAACACCAGCACCTCACGTCATTAATATTTTTAAGACAGAGACAGATAGATTCTTGTGAGGCTGTGTCATGAAAATCAATCAGGGTACGTGGGAATTTGGGACACGAGTAGATCATCATATTGAATTGCAGAGCAGGATTGAGAGGCTGAATGGACTATTTCTGGTCCTAATTCCTGTGCGTGTCCGTGTATCTCTGAGTCAGAAGATTGTGTATTAGAATCCCATTCCAAGGACTTAGGTGTGTAATGCCACTCTGCACTCCCATTGCAGTACTGAGGGAGTGCTGCACTATCAGAGATGACACAATTCAGATGAGAATTGAAACCCTGTCTGCCTTTTCAGGTGCATGGAAAAGATTCTATTTGAAGGAGAGGAGGTGTCCAGAACAATATTTATCTCCCCTGTGTCACAGAGTCAATGAGTCATGGAGTCATACAGCACAGAAACAGACCCTTCGGTCCAACCAGTCTGTACCGAACATAATCCCAAACTAAACTAGTCCCACTTGCCTGCTCCTGGCCATATCCCTCCAAACCATTCCTATTTATGTATCCATCCGAACATCTTTTAAACGTTGTAATTGTACCCACATCCACCACTTCCTCAGGAAGTTCATTCCATGCACAAACCACCCTCTAAGAAAATGTGCCTCTTATGTCTTTTTTAAAGCTCTCTCTTCTCATCTTAAAAATGTGCCCCCGATCTTGAAATTCCCCATCTTAGGGAAAAGACAACTACCATCAACTCTATCTATACCCCTCATTATTTTATAAACTTCTATCAGGTCACCTCTCAACTTCCTGCTCTCCAGTGAAAAAAGTCCCAGTCTATCCAGCCTTTCTCTACAACTCAACCTTCCATACCTGGCAACATCCTGGTAAATCTCTTCTGAACGCTCTCCAGCTTAATAATATCCTTCCTATAACTGGGCGACCAGAACTAGACATAATATTCCAAAAGAGGCCTCACCAATGTTCTGTATAACCTCAACATAACGTCCCAACTCCTATACTCAAAGCACTGAGCAATGAAGACAAGCGTGCCAAATGCCTTTTTAACCACCCTGTCTCTATGTGACACAAACTTTAAAGAATTATGTGCCTGCACTCCTAGGTCCTTCTGTTCTACAACGCTACCCAAGGCGCTATCATTAATTATATAAGCCTTATCCTGGTTTGTTGTACCAAAATGCAATACCTCGCATTTATCCAGGTTAAACTCCATCTGTCATTTTTCAGCCCGTTTGATAAAGATCTCTCTGTAATCTTAGAAAACCTTCTTCACTGTCTACTGTGCCACCAATTTTGGTGTCATCCACAAACTTACTAACCATGCCTTCTATATTCTCATCTAAATAATTTATATAAATGATAAACAAAAGAGGACCCAGACCAATCCCTGTGGCACACCGCTGGTCACAGGCCTCCAGTCTGAAAAGCAACCCTCCACCATTACTCTCTGTCTCCTGCCATTAAGCCAATTATGTATCCAATTGGCAAGCTCACTCTGAATCCCATGTGACCTAACTTTACTAATTAGTCTACCATGCAGAACATTTTCACAGGCTTTACTAAAATCCAAGTAAACATCTACTGCTCTGCCATCATCAACATTTTTGGTAACTTCCTCAAAAAACTCAAGTTTGTGAGACACGGTTTTCCTTGCACAAAACCGTGCTGATTATCCCTAATTGATTTTTGCCTCTCTAAATGCCCATAAAACCTATCTTTTGTAATCACCTGCAACAATTTACCCACGACTGAAGTCGGACTCACAGGTCTGTCACTCTTCAGTTTCTCCTCACAACCTTTCCTAAACAGAGGTACAACATTAGCCACCCTCCAGTCATCAGGCACCTCACCCTTAGTCATAGATGATACGAATATTTCTACAAGGGGTCTTCTGCAATTTCTCCCCTCATTTCTGACAATATTCTGGGATACATTCTGTGACCTCACTGCCAAGGTTAATTGGTTATTATCACATTTGCGGCTTCTGGGAGCTTGCTGTGCAAGTTAGACGCTTCATTTCTGACTTCATTGCAGAGTTCAAAAGTATTTCATTGGCCCTAAAGTGGTTCAGGTTGTCCTGAGGTTGTGAAGAGTGCCACAAAAATAAAAGTCTCCGATTTTATTCATGTAAGTGAGACGCGTTTACAGAAATGGAAGTCTCTTTCGGTGCCTGGTATATTCGGGCAGATGTACATTCTTGTTTTCGAGATCAGGTAGTTTAATAATCCTTCTCTTTTTCTCTCTGTCTCTCTCGTTCTCTCCCCAGGAAAGCGATGATGGAGAGGTGGATAAAAACAAGTGCTGCACGCTTTGTAACATGTTCTTCACCTCAGCTATTGTAGCACAGTCCCATTACCAAGGCAAAACGCATGCCAAGAGAATGAGGCTGGTTCTGGGGGAGCCTCCTATACCTCCCAGGACAACAGGTAAGCCTCCTTGGGGACATCCCAACAAAAATCGCGTAGTTAAAGGCTCTTTGAAGATCACAGCTGATTGACCGCTTGGTGGTTGGCATCCGAACACAAACATCACAGACCCCTGTGTACAGTAATCACCAGGGTCCTCTGGGCTTGTTCTGTAAATTAAGAAGTGTCAGCCGTCGCTCACTGTGATGCCAGAGTGGAACGTCATGGGTTCAAGCCCCCAAACTGTAGGCTGAAGTGCAGAATCGAAACACACTCTCCCAGTGCAAGTATTGAGGGAGTGCAGCACTCTCAGAGGTGCTGTCTGTCCTCACAAACACAGAGAATGCTGGAGAAACTCAGCAGGTCAGACAGCATCTGTGGGGAGAGAAACAGAGTTAATGCTTCCAGTCCAGTATGACTCTTCTTCAAAATGTCATGTTGTATAATCACGCTCACTACACAGTATGACCTACTGCTCAAGATGAAGGCTATTGAGACCATCTTCTTTAAGAATAAGAAACAGCACAGACTAATTGGTCTAATGTGGTCAAGGAAAACCACTTCCTGGTCTAACTAGAAGAGTCGCTTGTAGTTAACAAAATATAGTTTATTGTGTCACAAATATAGAAAATGCTGGAAAAGCTCAGCAGATCTGACAGCAGTTTCTGTTTTTGATTTTGATTTTCAGCATCTGCAGTTCCTTTAGGTTTTATATCATTTATTGTGTGTTGGCTTCTGATTCCTGGTTACATTGTTCTGATTGTCATTGTTACGGAGTGTTTGAGAGGAACCAGATATTGGATCTCAGTCCTTTGGGATCCTAATCTGGCCAGTCCACATTATGTCCATATGATGTCATCATGGTGGGTGCTGCTTGTGGAATGCCTTAGTATTAACCCTTTCAGGCCCATATTCAGAGCCTGTCTTCTCCCTTGGCTGGGTGTGAAACATCTTATGTCCAGGATTTTGAAGAAGAACAGGGAGTCTTCCCTAACGTCCTGGCAAGTATGCATCCCTCAACCAACTTGCTAAAAAGTGCTTATGTGATCAAAGTTCTTCAAGCTTGTACCCCCCAATCTTTTGGGGGCAGCTGAGGGGGCAGGCTGGCTCCACTGAAAGGTGGCACCTTCGAGAATGGAGCACCCGCTCAGTACCAACATCAGATGCCAGCCTGGGTCCTGTGCTCAGAAAGGCTCTGGGGTAGCATTTGAATGCTTAGAATCTTAAGCATTATGAACCTTAGAATCATAGAGTCATCCAACACGGAAACAGACCCTTCGGTCCAACCAGTCCGTGCCAATCATAACCCCAAACTAAACTAATCCCACCCGCCTGCTCCTGGCCCATATCCCTCCAAATATTTATTATCCATGTACTTATCCAAATGTCTTTTAAATGTTGTAATTGTACCAGCATCTGTTACTTCCTCTGGATGTTCACTCCACACACAAACCACTCTTGGTGTAAAAAAAAATGCCCCCCATGTCACTTTTAAATCTTTCTTTTCTCACTTTTCAAAATTTGCCCCTGGTCTTGAAATACCCCACCCTAGGGAAAAGACATCTGCCACTCACCTTATCTATACCCCTCATGATTTTATAAACCTCTATAAGGTCACTTCTCAACCTCCTATGCTCCAATGAGAAAAGCCTGGAGTAGCATCTGAATGCACAACCTCATGACAATTGGAGAGGGGAGTGTGCAGCGGGACCTGGGTGTCCTTGTGCATCAGTCTTTGAAGGTAAGCGTGCAGGTACAGCAGGTGGTAAAGAAGACAAATGGTAAGTTGGCCTTCATTGCGAGAGGTTTCGAGTATAGGAGCAGGGATGTGTTGTCGCTGTTTTTCAGGGCCTTGATGAGGCCACAACTAGAATATTGTGTGCAGTTTTGGTCTCTTATTCTGAGGAAGGATGCTCTCGCTCTCGAGGAATACAGCGAAGGTTTACCAGGCTGATTCCGGGGATGGCGGGACTGATATATGAGGAGAGATTGACCACGTTAGGATTGTTTTTGCTGGAGTCCAGACACATGAGGGGCAATCTCATAGAGACTTATAAAATTCTAACAGGACTGGACAGGGTAGATGCAGGGAGGATGTTCCCCATTGTGGATGTGTCCAGAACCAGGGGTCACAGTATCAGGATTCGGGGTAGACCATTTAGGATGGAGATGAGGAGACATTTCTTCACCCAAAGAGTGGTGAGCCTGTGGAATTCATTACCACAGGAAATAGTTGATGCCAAAACATTGAATGTATTTGAGAGGCGGCTAGATATAGCACTTGGGGCGAATGGGATCAAAGGTTATGGGGAGAAAGCAGGATTATGCTGTTGAGTTGGATGATCAGCCATGATCATGAAGAATGGTGGAGCAGGCTCAAAGGGTCGAATGGCCTCCTCCTGCTCCTATCTTCTATGTTTCTATGTTTCCAAGTCCCAGCATATTCAGCCTCTCCTATAATTCAAACCCTTCATTCCTCACAATATCCTGGTAGGTCTCTTCTGAACCCTCCCTTGCTTAATAATATCATTCCAATAACAGGGAGACCAGAACTGGACACAGTATTCCAGAAGAGGCCTCACCAATGTCCTGTCCAACCTCAATATAACATCCCAACTCCTACATTTAAAGATCTGAGCAATGAAGGCAAGTATGCTAAACACCTTCTTAAACCTTCTGTCAGAGGCATGGGTACTACTGTTCTGATCCCAAACAATGTTATTAAAGTACTTCATTGATTATGAAGCACTTTGGAATGTCCTGGTGCTACAGTAAGTGCTGTACATACACAAGGTCTTTCTCTGTACCAAAGGTTAAGAACTCAACAGGATGAGTGGCCTCCTTTTAAGACTTTATGACTATTTATTTGTGGATGCTGGAGCAGGTTCTGCGGCTATTAGCGGGGATATGTGTTCTATTTTAATGCTTCTCCAAATGGAAGCAAGCTGCTGAGTTTGTCGTCTGAAGAGGAGCCATTAGGATGGTTTCTAGTACCTGAAATGTAATGTTCAGACGCGGGTGTGTTGAATCTAATTGCAAGCACTTTGCAATAATGTTCTGAAGGTTAATTTTATCGAGCACCGATTTAAATTAGTAAAACATCATTCATAATGATCACCGTGCCAGGGATGCTAACCTTTGGGAAATCAGAACTGGAATCAGTGATGCGACGATTTAGCTGATTATTAAAAACATGTTAATTACAATGTTCCAAAATTCCATTACTTGTTTCTGATTAAATGCTTCACATACATTTGTTTCCGCATTTTTGAGATCCTAAACTAAGGTCCTTTCATTACTTCACGTCTGCAGTCCTGCCACATCCAGTCGCGCATTGTGGTGGGCAGTTAAACCACTCTCTAGATGATGATGTTCCACAAATATCCCCATCCTCAATGATGGAAGAGCCCAACACATCAGTGCAAAACATAAGGCTGAAGCATTTGCAGCAATCTTCAGCCAATGTGTTGATAGGACAATCCATCTCGGTCTCCTCCAGTGGTTCCAAGCATCACAGATACCAGTCTTCAGCCAATTTGATTCACTCCACATGATATCAAAAACGGTTGAAAGTACTGGATACTGCAAAGACTATGGGACCTGACAACATTCTGGCAACTGGTATATTAAGGTAGTGTCCTGGGCCCAACCATCTTCAGTTGCTTCATCAATGATCTTCCCTCCATCATAAGGTCAGAAGTGGGGAAGTCCGCTGATGTTTACACATTGTTCAGCACCATTCACAACTCCTCAGATGCTGAAGCAGTCCATGTTCAAATGCAACAAGATCTGGACAATATCCAGGTTTTGGGCTGATAAGTGACAAATAATATTTGCCCCCCACAAGTGCCAGACAGTGACAATCTCCAACAAGACATGACCTTTCCATCACCCCATGATTTTCAGTTGAATTGTTCACTGAACCCCCCACTATCAACTTGCTAGGGGCTCCTGTCAACCAAAAACTGAACTGAAGTCACCACATAATTACAGCGGCTACAAGAGCAGGTCAGAGTCTTGGAATCCTGTAGTGAGTAACTCACCTCCTGACTCCCCAAAGCCTGTCCGCCATCTACAAGGCACAAGTCAGGAGTGTGATGGAATACTCCCCACTTGCCTGGATGGGTGCAGCTCCAACAACACTCAAGAAGCTCGACACCATCCAGGACAAAGCAGCCGCTAGATTGGCACCACATCCACAAGCATCCACTCCCTCCAGCACTGACGCTCAGTCGCAGCAGTGTGTACCATCACAAGATGCGCTGCAGGAACTCACTGATCCTCCTTCAACAACCCCTTCCAAACCCATGACCGGTACCACATAGCAAATGCATAAGAAATGCCACCATCTTTGGATTCTCCTCTGAGTTACACATCTGACTTGCAAACATGTCTCCATTCCTCCTGTGTTGCTGGGTCAAAATGCTGGAATTCCCTCCCTAACAACATTGTGGATGTTCCTCCTCCCTAATGGTTCATGAAGGCAGCTCACCTCCAGCTTCTTAGGGCAATTATTGACAGACAATAAATGCTGGCCTAGCTAGCAACACCCACATTCCATGATTTATTTTTTTTAATATGTTTTTCTGAAAACATATGTTTTTTGAAATTTCTTTGCTTCTTTTATTCCCTAGCTCTTAGCCCCACAATTCACCTCAGCCACTGTCTAAGGCCAACCCAGACCATTCACAATCTTGGTGTCAGGTTTGACCCCAAGCTGAGTCTCCAATGACGTTTCTGCACCATCACCAGCTCTGTAACATTGCCTGACTACGACCCTGCATCAGCTGTTCTTCTGCAGGAACCCTCCTCCATGCCTTTGTTACTTCCAGACTTGACCATTCCAAGTGAACTCCAAGATATAGGAGCAGAATTAGGCCATTCGGCCCAAAAGGACTGCTCCACCATTCTATCATGGCTGATATGTTTCTCAACCCCATTCTCCTGCTTTCTCCCCATAACCCTTGATCCCTTTATAATCAAGAACCTCTCTATCTCTGTCTTAAGTACACTCAATGACT